ACCTGGCCTTGAATGCTTCCAGGGATGGGGCCTCCACTACCTCTCTGGGCAACCTGTTCCAGTGTTTCACCACCCTCATTGTAAAGAATTTCTTCCTTATATCTAGTCTAAACCTACCCTGGTTTAGTTTAAAACCATTACCCCTTGTCCTGACACAGCTGGCCCTACTAAAAAGATTTTCCCCATCTTTCCTAAAGGCTCCCTTTAAGTACTGAAAGGCTGCAATCAGGTCTCCCCACACCCTTCTCTTCCCCAGGGTGAACAAGCCCAACTCCCTCAGCCTGTCCTCATAGGAGAGGTGCTCCAGCCCTCGGATCATTTTTGTAGCCCTCCTCTGGACCCGCTCCAACAGTTCCATGTCCTTCTTGTGCTGAGGGCTCTAGAGCTGGATGAAGTACTACGAGTGAGGTCTCACCAGAGCAGAGTAGAGGGGCAAAATCACCTCCCTCGGCCAGAATCACCTCCCAGGCCACCCTGCTTTTGATGCAGCCCAGGGTATGGTTGGCATTCTGGGCTGCCAGCACACATAATTTCAGCTACAGTTGCTTATTTTTTTAAATAAAAAGGTTTTGTTTCAAAAAGGACAGATTCAGTCACCTGCTCGTCCATCTTGGATGCCTTAAAATATGATTGCAGTAATGCCCCAAGCTGGTGTTTCAAATGTCAGTCATGTGCAGAAAAGCTTCCACCCACCTCTGCCTTTGTTCCACCCCGGAGGGCTGACGGGCCCTACAAGGGGGCACAGCTTCAGTCGCTCCAGCTAAACCACAGGCACGGTCACCTCCAGGCAAAACATGTCCCAGTCCCTGGATGGGAGTCACACATTTGTAAGAGCACAAAGCACGACCCTCTCGTGTTCCACCAAAGTATTCCCCCCTCCTGCTGTAAGTCTTGGCTGAACCGATTCTGTTGAGAAGGCAGACTGGTAGGAAAATGTTTGTTTTCTTCAGCACTGCTTGGAATAGCTCAGAGCTTAACTGTGGGTAGTACATCTATTTTGAAGAATCTATGCCTAAATTGATTTGCACGGTTTGCTTTATTATAGACCGGCTATATGCCTGTTTATAGCTATGTATAGAAATGGTTTGCTGTGCAAAGCTTCAGAGTCTTTTTGCCTCCTTGAAAGTCCATTTATTTGAATAAAAAATGAAGTTCAACAATCCACGCTTTTTTTTTTTTTTTTTTTTTTTAAATTTGGAAGCTAAGGGAAATGTAGCCTGGAATTACTTGTAATGGAGAACGCTTATTTTCAGTAATTGCCCCTGCTTCATTGTTCAGCGTGCTACACGTTTCCTGCTAGCCGCTGACTCAGAGAGATCCTATGGAAAACAGCTGCCCAGCAATGGGCATCTTGATGGGATGAAGGCTTCTGCTGGTACCTCTGAGGGGCTCGGGTTCAGCTCCTAACAATAAATGAATGTTGAATCTACCAGCTTATTTACAGGGTTTTTTTTATACACACACAAATACGTGTAATATCAAAGGAAAAAAAAAAGCACTGCTGATGCTTGCCTTAAAAAATAAAGCTGCGATGTTGGGCAATCCCTGGGACAGACATGTGAACTTAAGGTGGTTGATTGCTATGTATGTCGTACCCCCAAACCCTGTTCTCGGAAGATAAGCTGATTAATGAACTAATGCTTAGCTGGTAACTGCCTCTGGTTTATGCGAGAAGGGTGTGTATATAAATTGAAATGTACCTCTTCAGCTATTTCTTCCTATTCCCACTGCTTACCCTCCCTTCCTTTCTTTCTTTTGTAAGTCCATTATTTCTAGCACGTGAATGCTTTCTGTTGCCAAAGTCCTGCAGGAATTTACAGGAAAGGGGGTGGGTGTCGAACTGTTAAAATGGATTAGCTGTATTCGCCCCTGCTCTAAATTTATTGTAAATGACAAAGACCTTGTGAATGGACCCATCTTCCTCCCCCTCCTTGGCTTTGCCTTTACTGGGACTGAACGCTGTTCCTTTGGACAGCAAACAAACAAGCGGCGAGATGTGGGAGGGTGAAACACCTCGAGCTGCTGCTGCGTAGGTTGAGGATGCTCTCTTGCGAAGCCGTGGCCTGAGCCAGGCCTGACTTGATCTCGCAGCATCGTTGTAAAGAAAACACCGAATTCATCCGTACCATTGTCCAGTGGCTGGGAGGAAAGAAGTGGAGTCTGGAGGAAAAAGTGGGTTAAAAGTATCTTGCTGAGGGGATTTGTGCAAGAATTTTGGTGAGATGTTTGGCCCTGCTAAGTTCTGTTTAGCTTTGCCAGTGAGTTTTTGTGTGCTGTGCATAGTGGGGGTGCCCACGGCTCCCTGGCTTTTTGGGCAGGTGCTGGTGGAAGCAGGGGCTGGAGCGAGACTGACTTTTTTTTCTATGTGCTGTTGGATTTAGTTGAACCATGTGTTTTAAAAATGGCACTGACAAGCTAAATGAGACAATTGATGGGATATCTTGGAAGGAATCTTGTGAATTTGACTTGAAATCCCACAGAATCTGTAGGTTCTGGTACATCTGCCAGTGATTTTAATTCTCCTGAACTTTTGTAAAAACAGGGCTTTCTGAAGGGCAGAGTGTAGAAATACACTAAATATCACGTTGAAGGTTTTGCATAAAAATTTTGACCTGCATTTCTTCCCAGGCCAGCTCACTTCGTTATAGGAACCTGTGCAAAAAAATTTGAGGCACGCTTGTACAGGGTCTGGTCTGAAGGAAAACATTCCCTGCATGTTGCAAGTAAGATATAATTGTCCACTTTTTGCAACCCCAGCCAGCCCATAAATTCTGCCATCACCCCATGGTAACTTGAAAGTTGGCTTTTTCCTCCGTAGCTCTGATACCTCCTTAACATTTTCCTACTGCCAGACATTATAATGGCTAACAAAAATAAACAAGCATCTGCTCAGGAAAACAGCGATCAAATACTTCAGTGAGCCGCATGGGTTTTACTCCAAGGCTTCAAATAAATCTCAGGATTGTGGTTGTCTGCTAGGAACACAGAGCCTGTGATACAAGACCTGGACGCTCACCACACCTAATGAAG